AGTGTGCTCTGTGAACAAGTTCTCTCCACCCTCCTTTGAACAGTTTCATTTATAACTAAAACTTAGATGAATTTTTCAGGAGATAAAATGCTAGTTTCTTTCTTTCCAGATGTCATTTAACTTGTAGGATATAAAATGCATCCTTAAAACATATTTTAAAGTTATTTTTATTTTATGTATATATTTGTCTATATTTTATGTGTGTACCATGTATCTGCCTGGTGTCTGGAGGTTGAAGGAGGATGCCAGATCCCTCGAATTGAAGTTGCAGGTGGTTAGGAGATGTCACGTGTTTCTGGGAACAAACTCCAGGTTCTCTGCAAAATCAGCCAGTGATCCCAACCACTGAGTCACCTCTCGTCCCCAAAATATATTTATGAGCTAGCAAGATGGCTTAGTGGGTGGAGATGCTTCTCACAAAGCTGGCTGAGTTGAGTTTGGTCCCTAGGAACCACAGGTGGAAGAGAAGGGAACCGAATATGATTTCAGCAAGTTGACCTCTGAACTGTATATGTACACATACACACATGCAAACTCACACACAGATACACACACAACACACATGCACACAGAGACACACACAAACCACACACAGAATACATATAGAAAGACATACACACACAATGTTACACACAAACCACACACATATCAAACACCAGACACACACACATGTACATTCTCCCATGCGCACACACATGGGCACATATACACATGCATATGCTCACATGTACACACATATGCACATACACATACACTTACACACACTAAATAAATAGACATGAAATTACAGTTTAATAAAATACTATTTTCAGTCATAGAATTTCAACCTAACCCCATCCATCCATCCATTAATCCATCGGCAGTCTGTTTATCTTAATGGAAATTATTTAGAGGTAGAAGGTACTTACAAGCTTCTTTGTACTGTAATGTCTACTGCTTGGTTATCCTGTGTATTTGTTGTGTGACAACAGGAACATCCTGAAGAGATGGCTGTCACTGCCACTTAAGTGGATATCAGTCTCATCAAGAAGACTATAATAGATTCTTGGAAAGTATGAGAATTTGAAGAAGTAAAGCTTCCTTGTGACAATGGAAATGACACACTAATAAAGTCAAAGGCCAATTCCACATATAACCCGCTGGGAGGCCGCTTCCTTACACTCCAGCTACAGTTGTCATGGGTCAGAAAGACAAGCCAGATTTTCCAAATGTCTTTCTTATGCGCTCTAATGAGAAAGGTAAGTCATGCATGCTTAGATAAGAAGACAAGAGGATTTATATTTCATTCATCGCCTGCTACATTCTAGGCTACAGCAGAACAGCATATAATCTCGTAATAGTCTTATGAGGTGGCTGTTAAAAATCTGAATTGATAGGTGAGGAAGTTGATATCAAAGAGGCCACAATATCGGTCAATTGAAAAGTTGGAATTTGAAGCCAGGACCATCTAATTTCAAAATCCAGACTCAGCAAGAGTACTATGCTTGCAAGCCTAGCACGAACAGACACGATGATGCAGAACCCACTATCTCATCTTACCACATGTCCAACAGCACCAAACAAGCGGGCATGGTGGGCCCAAGGTGGTCCGTACCACTGCGCCCTATTGCCAGGCCTCATCTGTCTGGCATCTGAATCTGGCTTCAAGTGGGAAACCAGGCAAGTCTGCGAAAATGCCATGCTTCTGCATGCAAAGTGAGAACCCGAGGGCCGAGCGAGAATAAATTCAGTAAATTTCATTTAGTTTTATTTCTACCTCAGTCTCGGACAGCTGAGCTTGCTGGCTATGTTTCAGATGACTATATAATCAGCGAGGAGTTTCACTGAGCAGAACCCATTGCCATGTGAGTCATACAGAGTTCCCACCTGAGCTGTTTCAGATTTTTACGACTGATGATGAGAGCGATCCAACTTTCTTCCTGGTCTACAACTGTAAATACGTAAATACTTGATATTGGGGAGAGGGCACTTAAAAGTGCTGAAGCAGAACACGTGGGAGCAAGCATGGGGTGCCTACGCTGCTCCCTCAGGCATCCCCACTACTTAGGTTTATTCCTGAAATCACCCTCTGAGTTTTTAAGCAACAAATGTCACAAATGCTCACAACCTTTATTAATGTCCAGCACTGACCCTTCACTGGCCTTCGCAAGCTAAATTTTAAGGCCTGATAATCTATCCTTTCGAATACAGTATTTCTTCTCACTTAATCAATAAATAGATATTTTTCCTCTTTTGTTTGTCAGGGTTCTCTGGGCATTTTAATTTCCCCTAAGGCAACTGGCCTTCTCTGGTTGTCTATGAGTTGCCTAGTGGATTTTTATTCCAGTTGACAAACCATGACAGTTCCAGGGATTATAGCCAATTTAATATTAAGATTATAAGAATAGTTAATATCATAAGATACTTTACAAAAGGCTTAGAGGTATTATTAGTATTGTTATTGTTATTATTTTCTATATTCATCACGTTAAATACAATCTTCCTCAGGGTAACTCAAGGTGAGAGCTAGAATTTAACACACATCTCCACGTACCTGGCACCATAGCCTACTGCCTATGTCTCTACCCCAGTCCTATATTAGTGTCTTCATTTTAAGTGCGCCAAGATCAAGCGGCCAGTAGACAGCAGTAGCAGAGCAGCGTCTTTCTATCTCACTTTCATTTCACCTGTGATTCTCGTCCACACTCAGTACCCAAACGTTATTTGTGGCGTGACATCTTCACAGGGTGGCTAGCATTCCTCTAGAAAAATCTGGGTTTGGTGTGTGAGCGGTGAGTGGGGGCAGCAGGCTGCTATAGCTGTGATTTATGATCCGCCTAAGGACCAGTTGGAATGTTACATGCTATGGCCAATCACTTAGCAGATAATTGGTGTGTAATTAAGAGGCAGAACTAATGCACCTGCAGAGCCAGTCTTTGTCAATAGTAATGATTCTCTGTGGCTGCGGTCTCCACTCTCCTTTCAAGTCCTTTGCAGAAACTAGTAAATAAAGGTGGGGGCCAGACACCAAAAGTAGACATAGAAAGAAAACCGAGGGAACAGCCTGTGGGTTGGTTTAATACTGAAATGTTGGGTTTGCTTCATCATTTTAAGATGGTAAGATTTGGAGCCCTTTTGTAATGTTTCAAATAAGGCAGTTGAGAATGTTGAAACAAGATATCAGACTTTTAAAAAATTTGGTGTGTGTGTGTGTGTGTGTGTGTGTGTGTGTGTGTCACACGCATGTGCTTTTGCTATGAAATTCATGCCTTTGCTATGCAAGGCATGTTTTTCCACTCTTCCTGTTTAGCATGGAAATGGTCATCAAGCTATAGAACCAGCTGCGGGGGGCTCTAGACTCACCTGGTATCAAGGATTAAAGTCATACGCATTTCTTGGTACTTGCTGCCAATCTCCAAGGAGACTGACAAAGGTATAGATTGATCTGATATAGAATTTCAATCTCAGGCAATAACAGGATGGGGAAGGATCTGATGGGCAGAGGAAGTTTGCAGTTGAGCAGGAAGGGTGACCCTACTCTCCCAATGCAGTTAGCCACCCCACTCCCATCTTATCTGACATGCGACTAGGCTGCAGGCAAACTGTACCACTGTTTTATCTGCACCACTGGTGTGGGGCTTCCTTCTATGTGCTGCCTTTACTGGTTAATGAATAGAGAAACTCCTTTGGCTTATAATAAGGCAGAACTTAGCTAGGCGGGGAAAACTAAGCTGAATGCTGTGAGAAAGAAGGCGGAGTCTGTGAGAAGCCATGGAGATGCTGGAGGAGAAAGACACAAGCTGCCAGCCAGAACTTTGCTGGTAGGCCATGGTTGTGGTAAAATATAAAATAATAGAAATGGGCTAATTTAATATGTAAGAGTTTGCTAGGAATACACCAAAGTCAATGGCCAAATGGTGTTTCAACTAATGTAGTTTCTGTGTGATTATTTTGGGAGTCTGGGTGGCCAGGAAATGAATAAGCAGCCTCCTCCTACACACCACTGAGTGACAACGAGGCTTGCTTGGGGAGGAGCAATAACATCACTCAAAGGTTGTACAACAGCCTACAGCTCTGAGAGCTAAGAGCACCTGATTTGCCACTGCCCGCGGTTCTGCCAGTTCCCTGACAAGGCAGCGACTGCTCTTAGCCATTCTGGGAATCACAGTAGAAGACTTTAAATGACCCCAGTGCACTGGGAGCTTGTCTTTACTTAAATTTGTTCACCACTGATTTGAACTATTAATTTTGAAATTTTAAAAGGTTTCATTAAAATACTTTGCATTTTGAGGACGATGTTGTTCCGCACCCCCGAAAATGTTGTTTGCTAGGCAAGTTCCTTACTCAACTCACCCGAGGCTGTGATACGACAATGAAATCTGACAATGGAATCTAATTCATTTCTTTAAAATTTTACAGAAATCTTAAGGTTCTAAAGGCATAGCTATCTGATATTTGGTATCATCTATCAGTGTTGAGCAAAAAGTTGGCAAAAAAAAGTTTCAAATGGCGCTCTACTTTGAGTTGTAATTGTACAGAAGAAAACAAAAATATGATGTGATGGTAAATGAGTTTCTGCAAGAGATACTCTCCTAGGCAGTATGGGATAGAAGAGGATGAGGGACATACAGTTTTTGCTAAATGGTGTTTAAGACCTACAAGTTGTTAATTACTTTTGCCAGGATAAACAGGATATTTCACTACATGAAAAGCCACCTATTAAATCATCAGATTTCACACCGCTCTGAAGTGTTTCCTGCTGCATTCCACCTAAAGTGGGAGCTTCATTAATTAATATTAACTGACGTAAGACAGCAACATGGGAAACACTCTCAATTTGCCAAATCAATACGCTCAGTGGATGTGTTGAGGCTGTTGGATCTGAGAGTCGAAGGAAATAATTCACTGTTATTCATCTTAAAAAGTGAAATTATCTAAGGATTTTGATCCCTTTCTGCCCGTTTCTGAAGCAGATTGATTAACCATCGCGCAGAAGACAGTGTCTTTACTTAGGTTCTCACCATTCATCTCTTCAAGTTCACTGTTGACTGTTGTGATTCCAACATCAATGGAGTTCATTATTTTGTCGATCTGTGAAAAGTAAAAACCACGGAAGTGGGTTGTTACATTCATTTGCATCATTACATTTAGAAACAACTGTGAAATGACACAAACATATATTCTTGCTGTCACTGTTGCAGCAAACTGAACTTTGGAGACCAATAGCCCAAGAATGAAGAGCAAGCAAACATCTTTTGATTTTCAAAAATATATAAATTATTAACTTGCTTATTTTATGCATAGATGACTCATTAAGTTAGGAACTATGAATTCTTTAAACTCAGAAAGAGAAGGGCTAAGGATAGGTTCAGTGTCAAGGTCTCCATTGTCTGTCACCATTCTCCTTCCCCCAGAAGTCACGAACACTCACTGGGGAAGGCGGGTTTCTGTTTGTGGACACGACTATGGGAGTCAAGTTCTAACTAAATGGTTTGAGCAACCACGAGCCAGTTTGCGGCATTAATTAAAGAATACAGCCATCAAAACAATTTAGGTCTATAAGACAAGTTAAATGCTTTAAGCTTATCTCACAAGAAGGCATCCCAATCAAGATTTCTGGAGTTAAAAATTTAAAAATGGATACGCTAATAAAAATATCAGTATAAAAGTTTGGAATTTAGATCTCAAACTTTCAACTCTAGACATGAAAAATTTCCCCCTCCTCATATTAGCCACCTGAACAAAACAGAAAGTTTCAAAAGGACAATGGACATTAATTACTTAAGTGTTCCAATACAGGGACATCAAGTGATTCCCCCCCCCCGCCCCCAGCCCCGCTCATAAAGACCAATTCAGAAAGTCATTATCAGAGTCAGGTCCTTTTCTGGTTCTAAGACTACCAGTGATCTCATGTACTTCAAAGCTAAATCTGCCTGGCATATTCTTCTCAGAAACAAAAATGTGACCTGTTAGGATGAACTATTGACGGAGACTTGGTCCATTCTTTAAAGAAATTCAAGAATCAGCAAGAAGCATTACTATTTTATGATGTGATTCCCTCAGGGAAAAAGAGATTGCATAGTTTGACAAAGGATTCTTTATTTTCTGAGTAATTCGGTCAGATTAAAGACTTTGTCTCTAAGTGGAGTCTGAAGTAGTGAGACTTGACCCCAAGATGTGTTTCTCTTTTAATGTGCCACCGAGAGCTGCAAATGGGAAATATTATATGATGTCTATCTGTTGCGTGGTTCCTGAAGAAGAGTCAGGACTGCCAGCTCTCCCACTAAGGCTAGAATCGTAAGGATCTGTCCTGAAGATGTAACACACTGCAAAGAAGGAAGGCACGCTAAGAAGTTGTTTAGCAAGTAGCAAAACAACACAGAGAAAAATAATTCTTTTCTTCCAAAATAAGATTTTCTCAAACTGTCAGCCACTGTCAGTGCCTGGCGGGACAGGAGGGGAGCATTCTCCTGTACTTCATAGCTACTTATTACTTCTGCTTGGTACCAATTTCTATGGAAACAAAGTGTCCCCTATGCGTGTGGAAATGTTCTCAATTTTCCACTTGCTGTGAAATTACTGTCTATTATCCGCAGAACCTTTCCCCTCCAGTTGGAGCTGATGAGTTCATTAAACACCACGCCCCACCCACTTCAGCTTCTCAAAGCTTTGAAAAACTTAACACCTTTCCTCCAAATCCCATTCAGTTCCGAAGCCCGTACCAAGAGCAACGATAAAAGTTCGGCTTACTTCTTCCCATTCGGATGTGAACGAAGGCGTCCTTTCAGAATTATCTTTAGAACTGCGTTCAGCCGTGGACGACTCACTCCAGTTAACCCTCGCTTTGTCCTTGGAAGGGTAGGCGATAAGATCAGAGTCGGATTTAGAGACATTTTTGGATAAGTGCATGTCGAGCAGGGCTTTAGGCAATGACCGTATTCTCCCCAGAGTACATGCTCTCTCCACAAAGCCCCCTGTACTCGCACCCCATTGGTCACCGCTGCGGGATCCGCTCCGAGACGTTCTTGTTCCAACGATGGTATGGTTCTCGAGTTGGTGGCTTCTTTTGTGGAAAATTGTTCTACTGACCACTTTGGGTTTAATCTTCTTTACCACCGGCTCTGAGTTACTGTCTACGGGAGTCGGTTTGAAAGGCAAAGGACTGCTTGCCAGACTGGCTTCATCTTGCCCATCTTCGCACGGATTTCTTTTCCCATACAGATGGAAAGGGTTTTCAGGGGACTCACAGGCTGGAGAGGATCCGTGGAGAAGGCCTGCGAACTGCCCGGCATCATATTCTTTTGGCGGATCGTCATCTTCCCGTTGAGAGAGGTCATCTGTAGAAAAAGGAGAAAGGCTGTCAGGGGGCTTGCTTGCTAAGGACTCTGAAAGCCATGAGACAGTGGCAATGCATTTATGGACTTTTATATACCCTGGCAGTTGATTTATTTACATGATATCATATTTTTGCTTTAGGAAATGTCCATGATCCTACACTGCTACATACGAAGTGCACATGAACATGTGTCTGTAAGAGGAGGCTTATGTGTTTGAATTAAATGCCTCTGATGCCCCTCAGGGTTCATTTCAAAGACAGAAGCTGAGCAACACCATGACTGTAGATACTTCCTTCTTGTCTCAAGGGTATATGCTTGGTATTAAATCAACAAAACTGGGTTTCTTGAAGTGGGACAACCATATTCCGGACCTCTCAGTTAGTGATTATTGTGTTGTAGGCCGTCAGGCTGGCATTGTGCAAACCGATGACCATCTTCACTTCTCTCATCAGTTACACCCAAAAGCAAAATCCTGGGGAATATAGTCTGTAGAAATTTAAGATGAATAATCCTGAAAGTATTGCTTTAAGTTTTAAGATCACAGTATTCAGATTTGATGAGTTGAAGAGAAAGAGATTTTTCAGGCTCAGGCCAGCGAGTGCCACACTCAGAGGCACGACCCTTCCACAGATCGGACGCTGAGCTCTCCTCTGCCTTTCTCCTCTGAAACCGCACACCTTCTGGTTCCTTTAGATCTTTGCAAGTGCAATGCATAAAAGAAATCAAAGAATGGTGATTTTTTTTATTGCCTTAGAAATGTTTCTAAGATAAAACAGGAAAATCTCTCTGTGATTTAAAACACATTATCTCTTTTTTTACGGCTTGATTTGTCTGATAAAGTGATACTGAGGAAAAAACTTGTCCACAGGACTTAGTAAAGGAAGACAGTTTACCTTGTTTGACAGGGATAAAATTAATTCATAAAGATCGGTAAATATTTGCCAAGATTGAAGCTATGTGAGGTCAGAAACAGCCAAGGTGGGGCACACTGACAATACACTGATCGGTAAGCTGATTGGCTGAGCCACACTTTGAAAAAGTTAATTATTATTACAAAACTCAATTCCCAAAGAGCTTATGAATTAACAATTGACACTGAATGAACATAGGTAACTTCTAGGCCCAGAATTGAGAGCTACGTTCCCCTTCTCTCATTTGACCCTCATAGAAACCTTGCGATTTAGTCACGAACAATAAACATGATCTTTCTGGTAGAAACATCTATGGACAAAGTAACAAATTTTCCTACTTTTGAAACACTGGAAATCACAGTGAATCTCTGCTGACATTTATTCAAGAGTTGGTACAAACAAATCTCTTCTTGGTACTGAGCATAGGCCCCTGGCCCCCAGGCTTCTCCTCCCGCCCCCCACCGCAGCAGGTAAAAGATAAAAGACGGTTTCTTCTCGGCTCTGCATATATCCAAACCTCATGCTGGTTCATGTTAAAGTTTTCCCGAGGAGACCATATTTTCCTCTCCAGACCTATCCCACCGCACCCCAGAATAGGAGAAAGAAAAGCACTAGGAATTAAAATCCAACTATCCAAACAAGAAGCAATCTTTATCCGTCTACTTCTATGTGACAGCCATATTGGTTTTAGCATAAACCTCCATCCCTTCGCAAATGGTTATCCTGTCCTATGTCGACTGCATTTCCCATTCGTGTTGTAACAGAGATCATTCCTGGGGCAGAGGTCACAGCTAGGACAAGGCAACCAGGAATTCTTCAAGGACTAGTGTTTATTGATTCTTATGTCTACTTGTTAAGAAGGCAAAGCAAACACACAGCTTAGCTTGTTGAAGTTCCTGTGCCTAGTAGGGACTCCAGCATCGGCTGGCTAGAATACACATTACCACTGAGACAAAAGAATAATTTAGCGTTGACTCACTAAGAAAATAATCAAGGAGGCTCCTAAAGGAGAGGGCCACAATTTTTTTTTTCTTCATGACTAGTTTTGGAATGTGAAAGAACAGTAGGAAGAACAGAAATGTCTTGTTGGCTGTGTGTGTTTTTTCTTAGAGACGGGCTAATACCAGGAGGAAATGAGACCTGGCAACCTCTTCCAATTTGTCTTCTCTTCCTTTTTCCTGGGTGACTTGGAGGCTCTGCTGCACTTCCCTGGACCAGCAGGCTGCTCTGAGAGGACAGTGATGGCGGGGAATGGTAAGAAGGAAGAACTGTGGACGGGGTAAGTTTAACATTGCATTTTGAATGTTGCTATAAAGGCTAAAGTGATTTATTTTGGGAGGAAAATTGAAGAGTGTTGAAAGACCTATTATCAGAAAAAGGTCTATAAGCCTTAGTCAAAAGGGTTTCTGACCATGTTAGTTATCTAGAATAATGAGACTTTTAGGGACACTATATTTAAAGTTTAAAGGATTTCATGAGTGACGGTTTAAGGTTACTGTCACCTCTGTGTTTTGACTAAAATGACTATAATTATATTCTTGAGTGGTTTGTATGAACCAATCTCTTCAGTCACAAGCAGCCACTTCCTTAAATGAAAGGGAATTTAGTTCTCAGCTTGTAGGTTTAGCCTGTGAATAACAGTCCTTAGCTCACGACAACTGAAAACACATTTGCCCAAAGTGGTGGAATAGTTCTTGCTTATATCAGGGGTCAAATTTTAAAGGTTACTCCAATCAAAGAAAAGGAGAAACTTATTTGAAACCTGAAATGACTGATGGGAATTGATCCATCCTGGCTATACCAACACCCTTCCCTATGCCACACCCCTCCCTATAGCTACACATTTCTCCTGCTCACAGTCCAGGACATAGATTGATTGCCCCCTGGGGCCAAGTGCCTTGCATTAGCCAATGAGAGAGCAGCAAACACAATGTGGGATGTGGACCATCTGAAAGGGCTTCTACTCTTGGAATCTCGCCAACACGGAAGCCAGGCTGAATTGCTAGAGGATGAAGGGACACATACAGTTGTTTTAAAATGCAGTGGTTTCCCCCCTAAGGAATGCTGGAGTCAATACAGGAAACAATTGCCATTGAAAAAGATAGACTGTTATACTCAAAGATCTAAGAAGGGGGACATAGCTCACTCTATGGGGCCACAGGAAGGTACATGAGGCCAGACAAATGACAGAGAGAATAGGGAGGTTGTGAGGAAGTGCCTTTCCCTGGCTTCTTTGGGAAGAAACAAGCAAAGCTGAGAAAAATAGGTTGAGATTGGCTAGTTGGGCTCAGTTCAGCAGAGCAGAAGGGCCATCTCCAGTTGTCTGGTGTCCGACCCTGGGTAACTAGGGCAACCTCAGACCTGTATGGCAAGCGATCATGGAGTAACAGTGGATCTCATGACTCATCAGACTCCTAAGTCCCCTACCTCTTATTATCTTCCACCTTGGGGGTGAGCATGTCGACTTATGTATTTAGGAGGATACAAATACATATCAATTTCAAGAAACAGACAATTTCAGTTGCATATAACAAGAGAATAGCATGTTTCTATTATTAAAAAAATATTTTAATCTTAGGATCCCATGATTTATAAGGAATATTAATTAATAAGCAATATTAATCAGTGCCTTTGTACATCAAATTAAGATTTGCTTTGACACAGTAACTATGTAAGATTTATTTACTTTATTTTTATTTAAATGCCTTTATGAGCACACTCTAGAGACTTTTGCATTCTGTTACTATTTCTTTAGATGAAACTTAGGCAAAGCATAGAGATCAAACTGTTTTCCTAACTTGTCTTATTTGATTTCATACTTCTCTTTTGAGAAAGTAGGTGTCTCGTGCCAAGGTACGGAAGTAAATATGTGTGAATTCCAATCTGGTAATCATTAGCACTTCAAAGAAAAGCCCAAGTCTGTCTGATGGTAAGCAGAACCACCCCCTTCCCGCCTTTGTTCCTGATTTTTATCACCTACATAGATACCTGAACAACAGTAAATTAAAAATTTCATGTTAGGATAAAAACCAGTTATGGAAAAAAGTGACTATTATTCTAGAGCAGACTTTTGTCTATGAGGTTACTTCATTTCCCTTCAGAAAAAAAAATCTAATTTTAGAGACTTTAGTGCTAATATTGGTATTCGTAGGAATGATTGATTGATTTCACAAACACATATAGCACACTTTCAACATGTTTGGTGGCATAATTTCTGCAGGACCCACGGCAAAATCACTCTTCCCGGCTATTGCAGTTCAGAAAAAGGCACAGCTTCAGGCAAACAAGAAACAGTCTTGTTTTGGATGAAGTTATGGGACTAAGATAACAAGGTAATGAGATAAGAATAAAGAGGTATGTTTAACCCGGCAGTGGTGGTACATGTCTTTAATCCCAGCACTGGGGAGGCAGAGGCAGGTGGATCTCTTGTAAGTTCGAGGCCAGCCTGGTCTACAAGAGCTAGTTCCAGGACAGGCTCCAAAGCTACAGAGAAACTCTGTTTTGTTTTCTTTTGTCTCAAAAGAACAAAACAAAGCAAAATAAAAAACGCCAAAACCAAAACAAACATACAAACAAAAAACAATGGAAACTAGGGAGACCCTGGGTCTAGCTTAGACTTTTTAAAAGACTCCCTGACATTTTTTTTCATGGCCAGAACATGACAACAGCATAGCTATTTTATTTTTGGAAATAAAGGCTACCATCTCAAGGTCCCTTATAAAACCCTCCCCCAATTAGCTTTAACTCTCAACTTGACACAGCCTAGAGTCACCCTGATAGATGAGTCTCCACTGAGGGATTTCTGAGATCAGATTGGCCTATTGGCGTGTCCATAGGGGAGTGTCTTGATTGTTCATTAGTGTGAGATGGCCCAGCACACCGTGGGTGGTACCATTCCCCGGGCAGGTGATCCAACAGAAGAAAACTAGCTAAGCATGAACCTAAGAGTGAACCAACAATCAGGGTTCTTTCACACCCAATGCTTCAAGTTACTATTTGATTCCCTGACTTGATTTTCTCCAATAATGATCTGTAATCTGTAAAATGAAAACAAATCCATTCCTCCCCTATATGGCTTTTGGCTATGGT